CGGGATATTGAGAGTGCGGAGGTGCGTTTTTTTTCGATCAGAAAAAATTCACGAGAATGCCATTCGGACTCAAGAATGCCCCTATAACGTTCCAGATGTTGATGGATGAGTTTCTAAGGGGAATTGATGAAGCATTGTGTCAAATCTACATGGACGACCTGTTGGTGTTTAGTAAAACTGAGGCAGAACACGTGGAACATTTATGGAGTGTATTCGAAAAGGTGAGGCAATTCGGGCTAAAATTGTTTAATGAGAAGTCTTTGTTGGGGCAAGACCAGACAAATATTTTAGGTCACACAATTTCAAGTGAGGGAGTCAAACCAGATGCGCGAAAAGTGGAGGCAATTAGGAGAATGGCAATACCTCGGGATGTAGGATGTTTTCTTGATCCGGATCTTTCAGTTTCTTCTTGGTATTTCTGGTTTCTGGATTAAATACTCTTGCATATCAGGCAGGTTTGTAGTTCGCTGGATTTCCTTCATGAAACAAAGCACAAATTGCAGGTTCTTGTTTAGGTTTTGTGCACTCAGCAGTTTTGTGTTGACCACCGCATTTTACACAACGCGGCAAATGATGGCAAGACGTCTTCACGTGGCCATAAGCCTGGCGATTATCGAACTGGACGTTGTTCTTCCTAGGATACGGTTTCTCCACTTTTACACTTGTGTAGTATAATCTGGTTACTTCGTAAATATTTTCGATCCAGGGAGTCAGTTCCAAGTCTATAAAAAATAGGGGTAGAGGAACATTTATTCTTGGCTGTTCCTTACTCATCTTTAGAACATTTGTTATCGGGCGCACTTTGAAACCTAAAGTTTTGTGTTCTTCTTCTATTGTTTCAGGGGTGTAGGTTTCTGATAACAACTCTTAAAGCTCGCTCCTTCCGCAATTGGTACATGTGAAATTCTGCTTAGGTCTCTGTTAGATACTTTACAATTTTTCTATAGGTTTCAGCTGTATCTGGTGATATTTTGGTGTTATTTGTTCTGCTTAGAAATGAGTAGCTTCCGGAGCCTGGTATTTTGTTTAGTTGAGAACATAGTAATTGGAAATGTTTTATGTTCTTAACAAATGTCGGGAGAGGTCAGGGGTCTCATGATGTACTCCATTACCTCACTGTCATTATGAAGCACCTGATAGGGGTTGTGTGTTAAAAAAAAAGGGGATTCTTCAATTGTCTCTTGTGATGATGTACCTGGCTGGATTTCATGAAGAAGACGAAGGTGTCGAGTCTAGCGGTCTCTTATTAGCCACTCTGCTAATGATGATCATAGTGATAATAAAAATAAATAAATTAAAAAAAAAATATATATGTTGATAACTGTACACCGTAAATATCAACTTTCTGGTGTATCCTTGACTTGTTTTAGATGGATACTAACAGACATTCTTCTGAAAAAGCAGTAAATAATGAGGGCTGAGTTGGAAACATAACCTTGCACCTCAGCTGATCGTTCGGCTGTTCACTTAGTTTTAGAACTTCTTCTTTAACGCTATACATCTGCTATTGTATGCACCTGCATCATTCATATTCTAGATTGTAAATTTATTCTGTTATATGAGCATCAGAAATCATTAATTTCATTAATTCATCTTGAACTTCACTTAATTTTTTATTCTTTTTCATTAATTGTTGTAAATAAATTTTAGTATGTTCAGTATTTACCAGCTCCGAATTAAGTTCTTGCTCCAACTTATCAGCTAATTTTGTGAAAGCAATTTGAATACGTTTCTTTTTCTTCCTTAATTGATCCATAATTATTACCTATAGAAAAGCAGCACAGACAATTAATCATTGGAACAAAATAATAACAAAAACAACTGAAGTCCTGTAACGGTCGCCAAAAAAATGGTACCTGAACGTACAAAATAAAGAACAAATAATGAATAGAGCACTAATATTCTTTTATTAACAATATTATTTTTATTAGCACAAAGCAAAATTCAAGATTTTTTCAATATTAATAAATTTGTTTAATTATATCATATGTTTTAATTATAACATGTGTGATTAATGTAACATCTCACTGCAGTTGCCTAGATTATTCCATCGTTTCCAACAGCAGGTATAAGGTCTGTGAAGGAAATTTAAATTTAAATGTTGAGTTCAATGCTCCCTAATTTTTCACAAACAAAATCATCCATCATGACCTTCATGTAACATATGTTTCCGATTTAGCTCAGGCCAGATAACTATCCTTCCATAATAAACTTCTGAATCATCCGAACCTTCTTGTTTCCAACCTTGCCTTCCCTGCTATTCCTGATAACCCTCCGAGGCGTCTGAAAAGCAGATGGTTCTGGTACCTTCTGATATAGAAATATAATTGGAGTGCTACCAAAGGGTAGTTTATCTTTATGTTGCACATGTCATGTTACTTGTTTCATATTTACTTGTTATATTTATCATTTAATACAGTTGTAAATTTCAATAATAATAATTTAAAAAAAAATTGAGTTTTAATCTTTGAGTTTAGTTTCGCTATCCATAGTCAAAATGATACCTAAACCCACAAAGCCGCCAGAACACCCATCCTCTTACCGTCCTATCTCCCTTTTACCCATTATGGGCAAAATCCTGGAAAAACTCATTTTAAAACGCCTGTATCCCATCCTAGACTCTAAACACATTATCCCAGATCACCAATTTGAATTCCGCACATCCCACTCCACTATTCAGCAATGCCATCGTGTGGTAGATGTAGTCTCCTCTGCATTGGAGCGCGGAATGTACTGCACGGGAGTCTTTCTCGACGTTGAACAGGCGTTTGATAGAGTCTGGCATCCGGGACTGATGTACAAACTCCGTGAATTCCTACCACCTACACACTTCCTCATTATACGTTCCTACCTTACTGACAGATACTTCAAAGTCAATCATAACAATGCTTATTCATCTCTTTTTACTCAGTCTGCCGGTGTTCCTCAAGGTAGTATCCTAGGTCCTATCCTTTACACAGTTTATACAGCTGACATCCCAACCCAATCCAACACTGTCATCACCACCTATGCCGATGACACGTGTATCCTATCAGTTAATAACGATCCTTTAATTGCATCCCAAACTCTTCAATCACATATCACAAGCCCTGAAGAATGGTGTAAAAATTGGAGAATAAAAATAAATTCCAACAAATCCCATCAAATCACTTTTACCCTCCGTCGTAAACCTATGACCTCTTGTCCTACAGTATCCTTCAATAATACTCCACTTATTCCTGTTGAGCAAATCCGCTACTTAGGACTCCACCTTGACAAACGACTCACTTGGAACCCCCATACCAGACTGAAACGACTAGAAACCGCCCGACGTTTTCGACTACTGCAGCACTTACTAGACAAACGATCTAAGCTTTCAATCAATTATAAACGACTCGTATATATGACAATAATAAGACCTATTTGGACTTACGGAATTGAGCTTTGGGGCTCCACTAAACCATCGAATTCCTCTCGTATCCAATCCTTACAATCCAAAATCCTTCGTAAAATCCTCAACGCTCCTTACTTTGTCACAAATAAAATCATCCATAAAGACCTTAATGTTCCATATGTTTCCGATCTGGCCCAATCCAGATACCTTTCCTTCCATAACAAACTGCAGAACCATCCGAATCCTCTCGTTTCAAACCTTGCTTCCTCCTCGATCCCTGATAACCCTCCGAGGCGTCTGAAAAGAAGATGGCCTCGGGATCTTCTAATATAGAACTTTAATTTGAGTTCTACCAATGGGTAGTTTCTCTTCATGTTGTACATGGCATGTTACAAATTTCTCATTTACTTATTGTATTCTCTATGTAATACAGTTGTAAATTCCATTAAAATAATAAAAAAAAAAAAAAAAAAAAAAAAAGAGTTTAGTTTCGGAGCACCATAAATGCTTGAAAGTGGTTAACAAGCCTAGTATCTCTAAAGGGTTTGCGACAGTGTCACGCCTCTTATGCAAATCCTAAATTAATTTCCTGACAATTTCTATGTTATGAATAATTGCATACAGTCTTAGAAGAAGTCTCATCAAGAAAAATAATTCCTTGTGTAGGAGATCTGAACAGTAGAGGTGGGAGAAAAATCAACGTGGCCATACTGGAAGGTTAGGAGAGGAAGCACTTTTCACGGCAACGGCTTTCGATTGATTGGTCTATGTAAAGAATTAGACAACTATTTTCTTCTTTTTTAGTTATCTCTTCATTTGAATTATAGTAGTTCGTCACTTTAATATTTAAATTTTACATTAAATCTAAACAGCGTTTTTTTTTTCTTGTTGAATAGACCTTACAGGAACAAGATAAAAACCTCAGAAAAAAAAACCGTTTTTGTGAATAAATAAAGTTTATCAGGACAATACTAAGTATTTTCAAGTTAATTCTATTAATTTGGTGGCCCTTTTCTATGTCTACGTCAATATAAGCTCAAAATGTACCTACTCTGACGTGTTGTTCTAAGATCTAAACTACTACCCTCTTTAATAAATAGCAATAGGATTATAGGCAATTGCAAGACTTTCGAGATTCTTGCTGTAAGACCGACAAGACCATGACTGACTGCACCATACCAAGACCAAGAACAAGACTAGGTGTGTTGACCAAGACTAAGACTCGTCTTGCTCTTGCATTTGGGCAATGCCAAATTAAATATTGCAATTTAATGGGCTTTGTGGGCACGGATATGGTTGAAAATAAGATAGATTACAGTACAATAAGGTTATTTTAGGGCAATAATGTGACGCATCCTAAGCCTAATAGTATATATGATCGTATTTGGTATATGCTGTAAGACGCTGAATTTGGGTTCCAATGAAGAATTTTAAGTGCGTATACATAATTTATTAATTAAATTGAGGAGTTAATTTAATACATAAAGCAAACAAGCTAGTAGCAATGCCTCTGTTGCTTATTTTGTTTAGGCACAGTTGTGAGAGTTGATTATCTTAAAACCACAAGTTAAGTGGAGTATAAAGAGTGGAGTAGTAAGTAAGCAGACAAAAGATCAGTTTTGAAGGAATGAGTCAAATTGAAGGGATCGTTGAAGCTACATTCTGTGAAGAAAAACATTTCCGTTGGGCCCGGATGCCGTTGCTAAAATATATCCTGAGGAAGGAGCTAGGAGAAGACGAGAAGGTGAAAGGTAGGCTGGTGTCCCGTTAGTCAGTCAGTAGGTCAGGCCTCGCGGAGAGGCGGCTCAGTCATGTTGAGGGCTTCTTGCATCCTGCTAACGCTCCTGGTCGCGGTTGCCTCTGCGGCCAAGTACCTCCCGAAGTGGAAGAAACAGGTAAATAGAAAACAACTATTAAACCCCTCCTCGCATCTTATAGCGACTGATAGCGAACCCAAGATGAGTTCAGGGCCAAATGTTAATATTCCACATTAGCTTAATGATATAACAATATAGGAATGTTAAATCAATCAGATAACTTACTACTTACAGGAACAAAATCAATCATGGGTAGATTCGGTATCCGAAGGTTGCTTAAAACTTTAAAATTTCTCATGGGGACAAAAAATGTTATAACGGGTATCCTGGGTTTCGTCAATAACAAAATGTTAACAGCATTCCAACGAATTGGTAATAATTAAATCAAATGTTGTTTGATAAAAGGTTCTTAATAAATGTCATCAAAATCTATTGACATTTTTTTTAAGCAAATCTTTATAGAATGTTGAGAACATCTTAATAACTCGTGTTATTAGCGATGTTTAATTTCCAGTGTGATCCACCTTTATGTATCTATATCATCTTCATGAAGTATAAAACCTAAATTACGAACAGGAACATCTAAGGATTGAGTTGGTTATTAAATTTAATTGTTAAAATTTATTAATTGTTATTAAATTTTAAATAGAAAGATAACTTGTATATCTGCTATTACATAGATCGTAGACTGTGGGGAATGATGGGTTTTCACAAACTTGCAGTTATAAGCAGAGTATTTGTACTCAGTGAACACAAATATGACGTCAAAATGGGAAATTATTTAAAAAAACAAAACAGAAAATACCTATTCCTCACAATTTTTATGGGATACTCAAGAAAAAACCGATGCGAACATTAGAAATCAATAATGTTTTAGGAAAAACAAATTTAAAGGTTTAATTGTTAATAATCCTGTGGTTGGAAATTAAAAAATAGATCTCAGACCTATCTAGGGGAAAGTTCGATATTGTTTTAATTAATACAGTTTAGGTCGGAAATAAGCATACCAAGTTCTTCTCCACTCCTCCCTCTCCTGTTCTAAGAGCAGAGATGGGCAAATGCCATTCCGAGTACTGAGTGCGAAGTATTTTACTCAAATACTGATCTTTTTTGTGTAGCAAAGAATTTAATTAATACTTCTGTTGATGTCAAACGATTAACTGAAGTAGTGATTGAATTTCCAATAGTGATTCAATTTGAGTAAAATACTCGGTACTCGAGTAGCATTTGCCCATCTCTGCCTGAGGGATAAGTTTTGTCGGTTCGTACTGTCGTAAAACACTTTTTATTCCCTAATTTTTATTTATTTATTGAATAATATAACATTCTGTCACTTAGAAAATGGTTATTAAGAGGTAAGATCACATTCACACTATATGTACGATAAAATATATATAAAACAAACAGAAGTAAAATAACAACTAAATTTAAATTTACTAATCGATGTCTTAGAAACAATCAATGCTTGCAAAGACGATATACTGACCAATGTAAGTACGTACCCTCCTTACAGAATTACAAGGCATTGAAAGTTGAAAATAGGTCTATCTGTTAGTCTGCCATTGTTAACTCTTTTATTAATCCCGTATTTTGTCACATACTTTGTTGGTCCATACAGTCTGTAGTGAGGAAGCATAAATGTTTTAAATAATAACTTAAATAATGGTTTATTTAGATAATATAGTTTAATTTTGAAATTGGAAAACATGAATGCTTTAATGTATTCTAAAAACTTTTTTGAACAGTAAAAAAAAAAAAAAAAAATGAAATGGAAAAGAAATATTGTTGATATTTTATCTGATCGAATGAATATTTTATCACACTTCAGGAATGTACTCATCTCCTTCTTGGTGTTTTGTTTTGAAGAATGGTATAAAAGTAGGCAGGAGGAATGGATAGTAATAGCTGCTTTCATCTTTTATACCCAGTTCGAACAAGGCGGGTATAAAAGATGTTAATAATTGCGTCGTGTGATCTCCTTGAGGCTGCATCCATAATTCTTTGATCTCACTGACTGGCAGGTCCGCTTTTGAAGAGAGGCAGGTAGGGAAATTCTCGTACCGGATTCACAGTAAAAAATAATAAAGTGTAGATACAGGGTTGTAGGTATATTGTCGATTAGTGTCATACAAAAAAGTATTTAAAAAAATCTGAATGAAGAGAAGGATGGTTGGGGTGATCAGCCAGAAATAAGAAGGCAAAAATTAAATAATTATATTTATTTTTTATTATTATACCATTAACCCACAATTAAAAAATTCTTATTTTAAAAATAAGTTAAATATTTAAAAATCAAGAGATGTCTGTTGTTAGTCGTCTGGTGCGTGCATCACACAAATTTCACTTACAGCTCTACTTTAAATAGAAATTATGTTTTTGTAAAGCTGGACTATTACGAAGTTTTTGAAGTTCATTTTTAACGGAGCATAACCTTAAACCTTACCTCTAAGCTGTAACAACTCACTAAGACAATTAAAATAATACACACCCTATTTATTATATCGACGGTAGAAAACTGTGTAAGTGCCTGCAGAGATGTCAACTTACATCTGTATATGTAATCTATAAATGAGTATGGATTGTACCAATTAGTAAAACATATAGGAAGTAAATCTGAATAACAATATACAAGTTATCACACTTCATTATATCATGTAAAATTGACTAAAATTTAGTTAAGAGATTTTTATTTTTTCCATCCTTAGGTCAAAAGTTGTTACACTAATTTAAGTGGATGATGTGATTTCTTAGATACAAAATTATTGGTATAAAGTACGTTTTCTTTGAAGTTAGAAAGAGATACCAGCTCTTCATTAAGTTGTAATAATAGACCTTCTTCCAACGTTTTCTCCCATTGAGAGCAGAGGTAGCATTAAGTAAACAATTTCTCCACTTTTTATCAGTTCGTGGTCAAGTAATTTCTGGTACAAGGCATACTACTTATATCAGGTCCATTATTATAAGTTACATTGAACTCAAGAAAAATTAATCCACTTGGAGAAAACATTCACTGGATGATGAAAATCTTTTTAATTGTGGGTTGATGGTTGACTGTAGTGAATAATTGAAGAGAAGATTGGTTGGGGTGATCAGTAAAAAAAAAAATAAAAGTATATTTATTTTTATGTTTCGTCCTAAAGTTCATGGCTTCATTAGGTCTGGCCAAACGAATTTCTTGAGAAAATCTTTCGTTTGACCAGCCCTGATGAATACTTGAACGTTGGGGCGAAACGCCGGCAAAGATAAAAATAAATATACTCATTTATTTTTACATTTGTTTTTACTGACCACCCCAATCAATCTAAACATATTTTTACTTTTAAAATTGAACTTAAAGAAAAAAAAAAGTTATAATTAAAGGCTTCAATGTGAATCTTATAGTCTCACATTTTATTATCTATTATTTCTAGAAAGGACTTCTTTGGTTATACTGAGAAGTATATTAGCATAAAGAAATCATAAATCATAATAAATTCTGATGAAGGCCTATCTTAAGTTTATAAATCTTTTTTTGGAGGAACATATGAATTAATAATGTTTAAAAAAACTCCAAAATCATTATAAAAAATACGAAAAATTTAAGCTAGTATATTTTTTCCGACTATGCATAATAAAATAATATCAACCTCGTAAACCGAAACCTTCGATACATCATTTGATATAAAAAAAAAAAGTGAATCTTTAAACTGAATGCTTATAAGATAAAATACAATATAAGATTTGTTGTAGTCACATAACTTTAAAAAGCGTAATAAAATGGCTCCGAATGCCATTTTTTTTTGCCAATGTTTTTAATTGTTTACTTATTATTATTTAAATTACTAGAAATATGCTATATTTTTATTGGATTAGCCTACTGTTTTTGTTTTTACATCAAAAATCAATTTGTCATAATACTTTTGCTCATTTGTCTTCTTTCCAGGTTTAGCTTTTTCTTTTTATATATTTTCTTCCTTCACATCACAGTTACAATTATTCTTGAGAGGATGTTATTATTATTTACTGCTTACATATTATATTTTAAATTACTGTATGTACTGTTTGAATTTTTATTGAGTTAGGTTTTTTTAAGTCAGCCTATTATTTATGTTTTTAACATGAACAATTAATGCTTTTTCTTTTCTTACTTTTGTTATTTTTTCTTTTCTCCAGGTTTTGTTTTTTCTTTCTATGTATTTATACACACTTTATTTCTATTTTTTTTTTAGTTGTTTACATATTTCTATTTAAGTTATTGCATATATTGTTAGAATTTTTATTAAGTTAGTCTTTGGCCAGATATGTATTTTTTTTTTATTCTGTTCAATAATGTTATTCCGAGCGGACTGTGTCTCAGAATGAAGTTTATTTTTCTACTCTATTCTATCCTAACACCATGCCCGTTACCAATGCTGTGTTGGGGAGAGGCATATCGGGACGCCGAGTGGCGAAGAGAATTCTAGAAAAAAAAAGAACTAACTCAAAAGGGTGATCTGAATTATGCAGAAAGAAGATAGGAAGTTTACTTTTTTAACTGACGAATACTATGAATAGTACTAGGATATATAATCCTAACCCTAGTAATAGGATATAACATAATACGATAATAGGATAAATGCATTAATAACTATTTGTATTAAATACCATTAAATATATTCGTACAAGAAAATAAATATAAAGTAAAAGAAAATAGTAATGATAAATATTAATAAATAAAATATAATAATAAAAGTAAAATCATTTATGAACTTGGCAAATAATAGAAACATTTATTTTCAGTTGGTATTACAGATTTTTACCTATTTTGGGCTATTTCTTTCCAGATATCTGGTTGCATCTCAATTGCCTTTTTGTTGATTCGATCTATTCATCTGGTTTTTGGCCTTTCATGTGATCTCTTGCGGCCTTCATTGTTTCGCAGGGGCTTCCAAATAGATTGCTCCGAGCATCACGCATTCATTTATGTTGATCGATCAGTCTCTGTAAGAAGTTCTTTGTTCGTACTTTTCTTCCATAATTTAATACTCTGGTCCAAGTAGCTGCAGTTATCGTGTGGAGAATTTTTCTCTTAAATCTTACAATACTTCTTTGTAGAGTGTTGGTTAGTGTCCAGAACTTGCAGCCGTATATCAGAACAGACTTATGATAGCATTGGCCACCCTTAAGATTTTCTTAGAATTTTCGGGATATATACAATATAAATAATACAAGAATATATATTACTAAATTACTATAACAAAAGAAGTAAATTAAAATTGAATTAAAAGAAAAGCTCATCTAAAGTGTACTTACTCATCTTTCTCCGTTACATGCAGAAGGCAAAGCAAATCTTAATAAATCTATAATGAAACTAATTAATCGAGGCTCACTTTTATTTAAGGCTTAGATATAATAAAATGTGAATACACTATAATATTATATAAATACACTAATTGTTTTCCCCCCATCCCAGGCTTGCGAAGTACCTGCTAGCCAGAACCAACAGAGCCACTACCGCTGCGACGACAACGGAGAAGTGAAATGCCTTGCTGGCTGGACTGGAGATCTCTGTGACGTCCCCATCTGCAGGAAAGGTTGCGATCCACTTCAAGGGTACTGCAAGAGACCAGGAGAGTGCAAGTGCAAGCTAGGTCAGTAGTACTGTTTGCATCTTATTAGATTGTAACCTATTTTAAGGTAAAGCTTTATCAAGTATTGTTTTTCCAATTCTTTTGTAACAGAAAGACATGAAATCGGTATTATATTCGAACTATTACTTATGATGTAACGATACGATTTACCTTAATCTTTTTCTACCTGTGGTATTCGAAGGTGCCTTGTAGTGATCGAAAACTATATCTCTTCCTGTCTATTTACAGGTTCTGTTGAAATGTTTGGAGTTGAGGGTCCTCTGCCTGAAGAATGATAAAAAAAAAAAAAAAAAATTTGTAAATGAAGCAATATAGATAAATACAAAAAAAAAAAAAAAAAATAGTAGTGGGGGTAGAGGAATAGAGACTACGGTGGGAGCGAGAGGACCGTAAGGCGGGTTAAATGATTATGTTGATGGCGTTTATGGGATCCTTGCCATCTGGTAGGGAGGGGAGATGGAGTGATGGATCGCAATGATGGGTTAAAGCATATTGTTAATGTTAGATAGCATACTTATACTAGTGAAGCTTAAAATCTATCAACAGATATAAGATTTCTGCTCTGCTGTTTATACATTCGCTTACTATGCAAAAATATTCAGGTGGAAAGGAAAAAGGCGGACTGGTGCACAGTGGCGGATCCAGGAATTTTCTCAAGGGGGGCTCACCTCTGTACCAGGTGCTTCCCCACCTCTACTCGTTTCCCAACCACTATCCACCTTCCCCCACTCCTTAGCTGAGTTTAGCCTCTCAAAAGTCCTCTTTAAGTGGTTTTAACAAAAGCAAACTCTATTTTTATTTAAAATAAATTTTGACCTATATGAAGCAATAGTTAATTACTTAAATTGAACCATTTTTTTATTATCACTTCCTATTCAACAAAAAACCTGACACATAAAAAATCACAAAACTTTAATTCCCTACTTGTCTGTTGGAAATCGAACCATTGAAACTTTTTTGTATTAATTGAGTTCTGCTATCACTCCTTTAAATATTTCCCTCTACCTACGAGATACCTGAAAAAGATTAATATAAATGTCCCTGCAGCTTGGAAATGAGTTCTCTAAGAAAAAACTTGGAATAATTTCAGATTTCGATCATAATCAAATTCCGATCAAATTGAAGATAAAATGGTTAGTACCTCCCTTCATGAAAACGTTCCCAACAGCAGCCATTTTAAGAAGGGAACAACACTTTCTAATGAGAAATATACAAATTATTATCGTGACCAGTTTTATGAATCGCATGGATTCTTCAAGATAACTATAGTTGCTGGTGGTTGCAATAGGTCCAGATCCTATTGACACTGAATAAAAACTGCATCCGGGAAAAAACCCGTTTTTTCTTCTGCTCGATTAAAAAGTTGTTCGGAAGATTAAATGAAGTTGATTTATTTTAAAATAGATTTTTCTGCATCTCATATTTCATCTGCGAGACTCAGTTCTGAGTCAATAGGATCAAACTGCGACAGGAACACAAGCCTTCGCGTCTCACGGCAGCCCCAAAACTACATCACTCTTTTTTTTAAATAGGTGTTTTTTCTAGGGTTTTTTTTCCAAAATCCAAGGGAGAGCGCGCCTTCTGGTAGAATAAGCTAGTGCTGGTCACGATAATAATTTTTTTTTATATTACATTGGGAAATTCGTGCATAAGGATGAATTTTCCCTATATTATTTCTCCCTTCTTTAAATAGGTGTTTTTTTGGAATTTTTTTCATCCAAGGGAGGAGGAGCACCATGGCAGAATTCGCTTGTGCTGGCCACAATAGTAATTTTTCTATATATTACATAAAGAAATTAATTGTCTATGAGGATGACTTTGGGGGCGGGGTGGCCGAATGGGCTAAAGTACGAGTTCGCGCCCCGGTGCTGGAGGGGATTTTAAATTCCCTGTTACCGGCAACAAACAAAAACGAAGTCTATCAACTTAAATGTAGTGAATCAGCTTCATAGCAAACAAACAGAATTTAATAATAGACTACAAAATTTTCAGAGCTAAAAAAAAGGAGAATTTAATTTATTTGTTAAAAATTTTAATTTTGAATAATATTTAAAAAAAAATTGTATATGAAATTGTTGAAAGAAGCTAAATTTTTAAATGATTTTTATTTAATTTTCGGTACTGAATATTTCATACACTCAGAAACTATATTATTTCTATGTTGTTTATGTTTCTAATATACTTTCTATATATACATAATTATAATAGAAATAAAATAAATAATAAATATTTTTTTTAGGATTCTACGGTGATCTTTGCAACAAGTGCATTGCATTACCTGGTTGCCAGCACGGTTACTGCAATAACAGCTTTGAGTGTATCTGCCACGAAGGATGGGACGGTATTTTCTGTTCTGAACGTAAGCATATCTATCTTAATTGTATAATTATATAAGAGAATTAAAGATATATGTACAAAGGAGGTGAGATGCATTAGATGTATTATGTATTATCCCTATATAGAATAGGAGCTTTAACATACTTCTGGAACAAATCAGAAAATATAGCTTAACATCTATTCAGGAACTGAGATGGCTAGGAGCAGGAGTACTAGAAAAAAAGAGAAGAAACTGTCTACTATAGCTGTCATGAAAAGCACCACAAGCTCTAGGAACTAGTATAATTATGAGAAAATAAATGAAGCATCAGATAATCTATTTTAAGCCCTGTGGATCCAAAATTTGTGGAAACAGAATTTGTCATACTTGACTAAGAGGAAAGTTCTTCAATTATAGTATTAGTGTCTATGCACAGACAGAAGCCAGTGAGGATAATGAAATGGATTCTTTTTATGAAGAACTAGAAAAAGCGATAGGCAAGTGCCCGCGACATGATGTATAATTATTCCTTGATAACTTAAAAGCACAAATCGGCAAAGAGCGATTAATTCAATGGGGGTAACAGTATCCCATAGCCTGCATGAGGAAACTAATGATAATTAAGGTTGGTCAATTTTGCTGCATCCTCAGGATTGACTGTGGGAAGCACACTATTCAGGTAAAAACGAATCCATAAGGCTACATGAATATCTCCCGATGGCAGGACTGGAAATCAGATGGATCATGTTCTGATAAGCTCTAAGCATAAATGTAATCTCCTTAAGATGAGAACTTTTAGGAACGCGAACGTGGACTCGGATCAATATGTTGTAGTGGCCAGCCTCCGACTACGCATATCAAATCCAACTAAGGTTGAGACGGAAAGATTAATTAGGTACAATACTTCCAAACTCAAAGACACAACATATAAGCTTTTCATCTCACTCTTGATCGACGCATGCGAAGACCAACTCGTGTTGAAGAGAATAACATCGAACAAATTTGGGAAGGCTGTAAAAACGGTTTAATATCGGTAGCCCTGGAGATTTTGGGTAAGAAAAAAATAAGCCGAAGAACTACTAGGTACCATGAAGAGTGTAGAAAAATGGAAGAGGAACAAGGAATCTGACAGTAGGATATAGAAAGAAGCGAAAAGAGGATTAAATGATCCACAGGGGAAAAAGAGGGCATGGGAGAAAAGGGAAGTAGAAGATTTGGATAACCTGAAGGAGCGAAAGGATATAAGAAACTTCTTCAAAAATATAAATGAAAGAATAAAGCTTAAAAGCTTAAATGAATATAACAGGTACGAAATGAAGATGGTGTTCTGACATAAGATAAAACTGGTATTTTGGAAAGATGGACAGAACACTATATGAATCATTTTGAACAAAATGATGATTACACTAAATATGGTCATGCTGGCGATGATATAGAGTACCCAGATGAGGAAGACGTACTTGACGCCATCATGCAGCTAAAGAACAATAAAGCTGCCGGGGTTGGTGGCCTGCCAGCCGAACTCTTTAAACAGGGTGGATCTGAAATCACAAAAAGATTGCATAATCTTATAATGTAGGCATGGATGGAGAAAGTCATACCAGAAGAATAGAGATCTGGTATAATATGCTACATACTGAAATAGGGTGATGTCCTCGAATGCAACAACTATAGGGCAATCACATTGCTCCCTACAATATACAAGATATTCTCTAACATTTTCAACTACAAGCTACGCCCTTTTCCAGAGAGAGTGGTTGGGCAGTATCACAATACCTTCAATAGGAGAGAGTCCCCCACCAACCCATTGTCCACTTTTAGACAGACCTAAAGAAAATGAAGGAATTCAACTTCAATATACATATGGTTTTTGTAGACTTTAGGGCAGCATATGATAGTGTCTGGTGAGAAACATATATATGAAAATTGAAAAACTTGAAATCCCGCCTAGTCTAATTAGATTGGTCAGCTGCCATGTAAGGTTGTAAGGAGATTTGTCTAACTAATTCAAATACTAACGAGGTTTGAGACAAGATGGCACTCTCGCATGCACTCTCTTCAATGAAGCTGTAGAAAGCATAGCGAGGAAACGTCGTATACAATCAACAGGCACTATATTTACAATAAGCGCACAAACATTAGCCCACGCCGGTGATATGTGTATTATTAGGAGAACTTTGACAGCTATGACGAACGCTTACATCTCGCTAGAGGCAACTGTATTTATGATGGCACTTGAGGTCAACGAATAATACTAAGTATATTACAGCCGTATAAGTACAGCCGTTATACTGATCCTACCATCCAAGTTGGTAGATACAAATTTGAAAAAGTGCAAAGGTTCAAAAATTAGGATCGTTAGTGATTCCGGATAATGATATGAAACAGGAGGTGAAGCAAAGACTTGTTGCCGCAAATAGATGTTATTATGCTCTCCTGAAGCACATCAAAAACCATACACTACTACGATCAACTAAATTTCTCCTGTAAAAAGTCCTTATACGACCGACAAAGCTCAGTGAGAGTAAAATATTAATTTTCGAAAGGAAAATCATTCGGAAGATATTTGGCCCAGTTAAGGAGAATTAGACGCAACCAAGAACTAGCCAACTTATAAAAGGAGCCGGATGTGGTAAAATATATCCGGATAGCAAGGTTGAGATGGGTGGCCCACGTTGTACGGATGGACGAGATTTCAACCCAAAGAAACTGCTCAGAATAGAGCCATGTGGAAAAAGAAAAGTAGGCAGACCAAAACTAAAATGGAAGATGGAGTAAGTGCTGAAGAATTAGGAAATAGTGGACGACTACTAAGGACAGGGACACATGTTGGAAAACCCTTGAGGCAGCCTAGATTCAGTAAGGATTGTCGAGCTCGGGATGATGGTGATGATACACACACACATACACATATATATATATGTTGAGGAAACTTATCGTCTTACTTCTCAAATCAGCTTATACTTTCAATAGTTTTCTGGCATCAAGATATGTTTTTTGTTTTATATTTATTAAGTTGTAGGACCTAAGATCATTTGTCTCTGCATTGTTTAAATTCACTTTAACTTTCAAATGTATTGTTTAATTTTATTACTCTTTAGACATCAATAAGCGAGTAGTGAGTATTGCTAAGTTTTAATCAGGATTTAATTATGTTTTGTTTTCCCTTATGTAGCCAATATGATTAGAAAGAAAATTATACTGACCTATTTTTTCCGTTTTTTTTAATTATATAATGTTGCTGTTTGACAATTTTTATTTTTGCAGCCATCTGCAGGCTAGACTGTCATTCCACAAGAGGATATTGTGAATATCCTGGTGAATGCAGGTTAGTTGTTAATTTCTATACATTATGTAACAAATCAACAAATAAAATGTTTTTTTTTTTTGATTTTACTTAACAACAGATCAACGTGTACATTGCTTTTTTAATTGGAACAAGATGAAAAGCAAAAATTATAGATTAAGTGAGGTACTATGTAAGTATAAGGTATTCAAATAAGGTAATTGGAATCAATACCCAAAATTAAATCCTGGGCCCGCTAGTGCTCAGTGGATGCGGAATTTGGTGCCCTACAAATTTTATTATAAGATTTTTTTTTTCATTTTTTAGAACTCATTTCTAAAGTGCAAGGCCATTTATAATAATTTGTCAGCGTTAAAAAATTAAAAATCAGCGTTCGTTGACCGTGATTATCGACCACACCATTTAACTAAATTATTAACCTTAGGTGCTCGTTAGACGCCTTACTTTAACTTCTTAATGAAGGGGTTTGTCTCTTCGATGCACCGTATAGGAGTTGTAGGTGAAAAAACAAAAAAGACTTTTTTGGATATAAAAAGGTTTCCTTTGGGGGCCCGCGTTAGCAATTTTACTTTTTACTTGTCTAAACCAATATGTAGAAGTGGAAAAAAAAAAGAAGAAATGTCCAACATTTTTCGCAATGAATTTCCCGTTTCGATTCTGCGGTTACTGGTAGCATACTCTCATTTTTTAAAATATAACTGTTATAAATATTTTTTTAAAAATGCTCTCAAACTTTTCATCAAATAATGTTCATTTTTTTATAATGGGATCTCGGACTATGAAGTACCACTATTTGCGGTACAATGACCAGGCGATGGGGCTTCCACTTCTCCAATCCAGAAATAAGGTTCATTCAAGTCTAAGTCAATGAAAAATACATCGGCGTGGTCATTGTCTTGTTTTTTAATTATTTGATATTTAGAAAACTAAATTTCACAACGAGGGGATCAAATATTTCCTTAATTTTTTTAATGAGGGAAAATTTATGAGTAGATTCATACTTAGCAAGAATTCTGTTGCAAAGAACTTAATCATACTGTTGAGGCCGTGATAGTATTTAGGCTTTAGGACCTTAACAACCTCGAGTTTATCGGCTCCGAACAGTGGGATCGATAGAACAGTAACCTATCGCCTATATAGAAGAATAAAAAAAACTTTTTAGTTTAACCTACTTACGAATAAAATGTTGTTGCATTTTTTGTATTATTTCTAGAAATGTGCAACAAGTTTTGCGTTAGCCATGGTCGGGTTAAGTACTTATTCTTATTAAAGATCACTACCATACCTAAAAGAAAATATTACAAAGGTACCTTATAAAATAACAAAAACAAATAAATAAATGGAAATATTTTAAATGCATAAAATTTTCCATTATAATTTTTTTTTTAATAATCTTTATAATAATTTATAATCCATTATAATCTTCTATAGTTTATCAAAATATGGGCAAAATAAAACGATATAAATTTTTACATTTACGTAAAATCAAGATTCACATTCACCACTATAGATGAATATTGACTTTTTGAGTATACTAGTTAAATCGCTTCGTATATTGGTCATTGACTAAATCGTAGGGCAATATGCAAAAAAGTAAATGTGTTCAGAAAAAAAATTAATGACTATTTACAGTGAGCAGTGACGAGACCATGGCGTGACAGACATGTCCTCTTATCACACGTGTTCCCACTTCAATCTAATTCATAATCATGCAACGCATGATCAGCCTCTGTCTTAGAAGGGGAGGTTACGAACGTGGGGTTACCGATTTCAATGAAACTTTTTTTGGTGACACATGTTTTTTATTTTAAAAAAACTCGTAGTTAAGAATTTTAGTGAACCCTAAAAACGAATCTGAATCGTTTTTTTCGTGACAAAAGATATCTGGCCTAGTTTACTAAAAGCGTCTATGGGTTTTTGTAATTTATTATAGCTTCATTATAGTTTAGTACAATTAGCAATATATTTTTCTTATTTTACACCAAAAAACAAACCGATTGATTTTATTAACCATGGAGAGCAAAATTAGAAAACTGTAACATAAAAAAAACAATAAAATTTTATAAAATCTTTTTTTTTCCTCGGCTCCTAGGACGAGAACATTGCAATGGCAAGAACGCTCGGACATGGGTCTAATATTTTTTGATCTACTATCAGCAAAAAAAGTTTCATTGGAATCGGTGATCCCAGTAGTAAATCATTTAGAAGTAGTAGTAATATTGTTTGTAATAACTATACGACTATGAAGACTTCGGAAATATAACAAGAATCCTTCGATTGCGCAGGTGCCGCCTTGGTTGGGCTGGAGAGACCTGTAAGGAGTGCCAAGTTCTGCCTGGCTGCCAACACGGCTACTGTACCAAGCCACTAGAGTGCAAATGCCAGGAAGGTTGGACCGGAATACTGTGTCAAACACGTAAGTTTTTCATAAGTACTAATATAAGACATTTTAAAATATTTTTTTCAAGTATTATAAGAAATTTTGCAAAATATTTTTTATTTTAATTAACTACTTACTACCCTTCTTTCTGGAAATTCCTGTTAGCAAAACAAAGGACCTTTCTCTGTATTACTTTAACTCAACTATCACTCTATGATTTTCTTTTATTAACGAAAATGACTAATCATAGTCTTGTTAAGTAATCTGCTTGTAATTCGCATTGCAAGCCCAAAGTTACTCAGCTCTACTAGCCGAATCTGCGTCCATAATCATCTTGTTGATCTCCCGAGATTTGTCGTTTCCTGAGTTGACTTCTACATCCAGATAGATGAAGCTGCTTACCTCTTCATAGATATCTCAAAGGGACCGATTCGTATTCCTCATTAATCTCTTTGTTATTTCTTCTAAAGCCAAAAGCAAATCTATTAACACACTTTCCAGATTAGCCATAATATCGAAGTTATAGCCATAACCCAAGAGCTGTTGACCACCAGTTCTTGGGTTTCTTCCTTACACGGTTAAATCCATACTGTTATCTTGCTTAAAAAGTCGGGAGGCTATTGCATTCTACTTCCGTACAATGTAGTTCATGGTAAGGAGATCAGGTAGATAATTACTCGTACATTATGCATACTTCGATTCCACTGAAGCAGCATTTTTGAATATTGTTTTTTGTAACCTCTTTTTAGCACTTTTATCTTCACATCATCCTTCTGTTGCACCAAATGATTAAATCTGAATGAATTGTTGTTATGGGAGGGTGTACAACGGCATTGAATCGTTTGAATTTGATTGTGAATTTTGCAGAGAACGTGCATTGAACTTCCTGTTTTGCTATTGTTTGTAGGTATACTCGGTGGTGTCGACAAGGTGGCTGAGCGTTTCCTGCCAAACAGATGATAAACCGATGTTTACAAGATTTAAAAAAATTACGTGTTTGTGTACCGGGGTCGGGAGAGACTTTTCTTCGGCAATAATCCCCCGCTCTCTAAAATTCTCGTACACCCCACAAGGCGAGAAAGGGGTGGACAAAAAATAAAATAAATAGACTATATTAATTATTAGCGTAAATTGTTTACTATTTTAATTCCGTTTGAGGCGAGGAAAGCAAATCCTGATGTTATTGCTAAAGGTCGTATATAAACATTTAGTTTTTTTTACAGAACAGCTTAAAAAGTGATTATTTCTTTATGATTTATTATGAGTATAACTTCATATTTTATTTCTCTCCATTTTTTTCCATTGGTAGACTACTTATTGCAGTTGCTGACTACAAAATTTCAACACGATGCAATAAAAAATGTCACAAAATGCACGAATAGAATTAACAAAGAAAATTGTTACATACGACTGTTTGCACTAATAGTAGCGATGTTTAGCAGCCTCAGTCAGACAAATCTCCTGGTGTGTTAAATATTTGCACCTTATCTTTTCAACTCACTTTTCTAAAAAGGAAAAAAATTACTTTTTCCACAAATGGTTAAAACTGTGCCACAACCTATACGACGATGAAATGTTTTGGAAAACATCTTTCATTGTTTCTTTTGGAATGTTATGAATCTTTTCTTGTTATTTACTTTTCAGATAGTTTCAATAGGTTCTTGAGTGGATCTAGATCAATCAAGAAAACCCTGAATAAATCAGTGTCAACACTAATTAATATTCCATGCATTACTTTTTCTGGTTCATGAAGTGCAGGTGATTCTATCGTAGTATTGCCATTTCATTCTTCTTTCAGGTTATTTTTCAAGCTCACATAGGACGAGTTGCATAGTGGGACTAATCTGCTTTTTACTTGGCCCTATAAAAATTTTAGAATGAAAATTTTTAAATCTATCGAGTTTAAAAAAAAAATTGATTAGGCTCTAAAATAGTAAAGTAATATTTTTTTATATTTTTTTCTGGTTATTAATCTACTTTGAATTCAAACATTCAAAATTTATATTTTGTGTTTTTTTTTTTTCAATTTTTCGTTTCAAGTAATTCAAGAATTCTATCATGCATAAAATTTTGATTTGATTTCCAAAGCTTGCAATGAAGAAGTTTTATATCACATTTTGCTGATTTTATCACATATTAATTTCTTTTTTTGTGTTGCCATTACAGACCATGTAGATCTTTTGCCGCCTTAACAAGGCTTCTCTATCTCTGGTTATCTTTTTTCATTTATCTGCACACAGCTCTATTGCATCTTTGTTAATTCTATCTATCCATCTGCTTTTGTGTCACTTCGTCTATTGAGGCATTCATTGTTACGTAGAGGCTTCCAGATGAATTGATGCGAACTACATGCCCTAATCATCTTAACCTCCGTGCCTTCATATCATGGGATATTGATTGATCAGTTTCTGTAAGCAGTTCTTTATTGGTCTTTCATCTCCATGTGTTAGTATTCTGATCCCAGAAAAACAGACTGAATAATATTTTCGTTAAAAAAAAAAAATACCTAAAACATTTCGAGTTGGCGATACATACAATATCAAGTAATTTGGTCTATCTAGGGATTAGTGAATCTTCATTGGCATCTAAAATTTACCGCTTATTGCACTTTAAAACTATCAAAAGTGAGACAAAAATCCTACAAATTAAGTCACCTCCTCACAACCCAAACCTTGGTCTCAGATTAAAATTACTTCAGGAGCATCCTTCGCCCTTCTCTTCTCCATGGCCGCTCAGCAACTGTCCCACATTTCAGAAAACACAAGCATGGGACTTGAGACTTGATCAATTCCAAAATGGAATTTTAAAAAGGATTGCTAAAAACATGTTATTCGAAAAAGAGAAATCTGATAAACTGCATACCTTGTTAAATTTGCCCAAAGTAACTCAATTTATAAACAAAAGAATGATAATTTTTTTAAATAGATTTGAGGTAGAATTTAAATTAGTTTTAGAAGAATATTATCAAGATAGAAGTGAGCTCCAACAACCTGATTGGCAATAAAAAAAATAAAGATTAAAAAGAACTGAGGAATGTTCCGAAAGATCTTCTAATGTATCCGAGATACAGTACAAGGAACATCAAACGGTAAATAGAAGAAACAAACCATCAATGAAACTGGTGATCTGGAAAAAAAAGCTTAAATGGGAGGAGAGGATGTGTCTTAATTTTCTTTTAAATCAAACTTTAGAAAGCCAAAGTATTTTATTATTTTACATTACATTACATAGGTACTTGAATACCTTCAGTGCTCGAGCTACGATGAATTTTTTTTTTGGGTTGAAACGTCGGCACCAATAAAAATTTTATAATGACTGCGTCATGAACATTTATCAACTATGATATGTAGAACATACTAACTTTCTTCAATACTACATTACATTATATTATTTTAAAGGTATTCGTATTTTACACTGTTTTAATGCATTGATGTGTATACGGATCCAGTGATAAAAAGGTTTAGAAAAAAATACTTACCACTTATCGGTCACAAAAAAAAAATTTAATTATGGACTAACAGCTAAAAAAGTTTAAGTCTTTTTAACATTACCAACTTAGCTTACACTGAAATTGAAACTGCGGATCTCTTTTATAGAAGAAATGTGTTTCAAGGAGATGGCACGAATAAGTGCAAGCTTTAGCCTTTTGCACCCACAAACCAAGATACCTCAACTGCGGTCTCGATGATCCTTGTGATAGTTGCCTGAAACCGCGTGAAGAACCTCATGTTAGTGTATTGTGCGGTAATAATCAACCCGCAAATGGTAAGTTAAAAATCAAAAGCAAAGTGTTGAAATGTGCAGCTTATTTTAAGTAATACTTCCTTCGTTTAGACAAATTTATTGTCGTTTGATCATATTCCTACAAAACATATGCATGAAAATGAAACTGAACGACATTTTGATACATGACATAAGTTATACTGTTTCAACATAACATTCAATAACCTATTTAATTATATTTGTTCTTGTAATTTGTTTATTACGTTTTCTTTACGAGCGGAGTGAATTAAGAAATATTGTGTTCTGCTTACTCCAATTAAATTTTGTTAAATTTGGGAGAAAATGGAGTGGAATCTCTTCCACTTCTACGTAACAAATAGGAAGTTTTTGAAGTTGAAAGAAGAATCTGGTGCGCGCATCAAACAATATTTACTTATCACTTTTAGCTGAAATTATTTTCTGACAAAATTTGATTATTGAAAACTTTGAAATGGGTGTTTAGTAGAACTAAACGTTAAAGAGCATCTTTTTTGGCCAAATTTATCAATCCAAAAAGTCATTAACTTGATTGAAATAAAACAAACTATATTATAGAATAGAATAGAATAGAAAATTAAACTTTATTCTGGGACTAAGTCCCTTTAGAATAACAATATTGAGTTAATACAAAGTAAAGTACAAATTATTATGTCGAGAATAGGTGAGGAAAATCTGGTAACTATTAGTTTATACCACGAAACTCCAGTCTTATTTATTTTACTTATTTTTAATGTATACAAAGTGTATTTAGGAAACGATAACTATTATAATACTTTCTTGATCATGAAAAAATAAAAAATAGCACAATTAATTGTAGTCATTTTAGCTGAAAACATAGTAACATAACAAAAATAGCATCATTTTTCTACACAACCTGAGGTGAATCTCAAGTTTTTGCTAAATAAACCTCAACTTAATTAATGTGGACTTAAAACTACTTAAACGAGGACGTTTTTATAAAAGTGGGGTATCTACAGTATGGTTGGAGATGATAAAAAAAAATCACGAGTAGTTTATGATTTTTTTTAAAACAAAACTTAATTAAGTTTAGCTGCTTTAAATGGTTTTAAAAATGACAAACTATTGTTATTTGAAGTAAAGTTTATTTATTTTACAGTGAAACATTTGTTAATTAAGTAAAGTAAATATTTCTTATTGTTTATATGAAATTCTTGTAGCTCTTGAGGTCTGCTTTCAGTCCTATAAAATTTTCCCTCAACTTACGGGACACCCTGTATAATACTTTTTCAAAAATTGCAGTGCCTCGATTCGGT